AAAATTTGATGTGGTAGTAGCTAAGAGTCATCCCCAGCGCACAATACGAGTGGTAACAGATTTAGCATTAGCTGTTGGAGCCGACTCTATATGTCTGTTAACAAATTATCATTAAGTGGATGGATTTTAATGAAACTCTCAAAGATTCATCACTGGACAACCTTCTACAAATTCTTAACTTTTCAAGTCAATCTAATTTACAGTGGCCACCACAGCTAATCCAATTTAGGAAACAAATAAATGTTTATAAGTGAGTTCTTTTTACATATACTGATCTAAAATTTGGTGTGGTAGTAGGTAATAGTCACCCCGATGACATACTTTAAGCACTAACAGGTCATGCAAGACTGTGCAAAACTTTGACATGCAAGACGATATGCATTCCTTTAAGCAAAGCTACCTTAATAATAATAGTTTTAATTATATTTCTTTTAAAAGTCAGTCTTTTATTGTTCTTGATTAAAATGTTAAAATCTGAATAAGTATGACGCCATATGCTTTATGGGCATTTAAAAAAAACAACTACTGCCAGTCATTCGAATCAATAATGCTGTTTTTTTTTGTTGTTTTTTTTAAATAACACAGCTGATTTTCTAATATTTAGACCTGGATTAACGCAGAGGTCAGATGTAAACATGCTTTAAAATCCAAAACCCCTCAAGGATCTCAACCCAGCGCAGACTGAGGCGAGTGCATGGACAGGATGTTCAGATCCCTGTTGCTGCTGACACCACAGCGTAAGCACAAGCCTGTCAGGGAAACAGTTGTGGCAGTTGTGATAGCAACAAGGCAAGAACTAACACAACGCCGCACTGAGAGGATGCAACAGTGGGCTTCGCAAAAGGAAGCTAAGCAGATGGTGTATGAGATACTACTAAAATAAGAGACAGCTCTGATCTGCATCCTCACAGAATTGAACAAAGTGTTGCTTCTGAAGTGTCCTGCAGTGATACGCACATACAATCCGGATTCCAAAAGAGTTGGGACACTAAACAAATCGTGAATAAAAACTGAATGCAATGATGTGGAGATGGCAAATGTCAATATTTTATTCGTAATATAACATAGATGACAGATGAAAAGTTTAATCTGAGTAAATGTAACATTTTAAAGGAAAAATATGTTGATTCAAAATTTCACAGTGTCAACAAATCCCAAAAAAGTTGGGACAAGTAACAATAAGTGGCTGGAAAAAGGAAATTGTGCATATAACGAACAGCTGGAAGACCAATTAACACTAATTAGGTCAATTGACAACATGATTGGGTATAAAAAGAGCTTCTCAGAGTGTCAGTGTCTCTCAGAAGCCAAGATGGTAAGAGGATCACCAATTCCACCATTGTTGTGCAGAAAGATAGTGCAGCAATACCAGAATGGTGTTACCCAGCGTAAAATAGCAAAGATGTTTAAGTTATCATCATCAACCGTGCATAACATCATCAAAAGATTCAGAGAATCTGGAACAATTGCTGTGCGTAAGAGTCAAGGCCGTAAAACTCTACTGGATGCTCGTGATCTCCGGGCCCTTAAACGTCACTGCACCTCAAACAGGAATGCCACTGTCAAGGAAATAACAGAATGGGCTCAGGAATACTTCCAGAAAGCATTGTCAGTGAACACAATCCACCGTGCCATCTGCAGTTGCCAGCTGAAACTCTACAGTGCAAAGAGGAAGCCATTTCTAAGCAAGCTCCACAAGCTCAGACGTTTGCACTGGGCCAGGGGTCATTTAAAATGGAGTGTGGCAAAATGGAAGACTGTTCTGTGGTCAGATGAGTCACGATTTGAAGTTCTTTATGGACCACTGGGACGCCATGTCATCCGGACCAGAGAGGACAAGGATAGCCCAAGTTGTTATCAACGCTCCGTTCAGAAGCCTGCATCACTGATGGTATGGGGTTGCATTAGCGCTTGTGGCATGGGCAGCTTGCATGTCTGGAAAGGCACCATTAATGCAGAGAACTATGTTCAGGTTCTAGAACAACATATGCTCCCATCTAGACGTCATCTCTTTCAGGGAAGACCCTGCATTTTTCAACACGATAATGCCAGACCACATTCTGCAGCAATCACAACATCATGGCTACGTAGGAGAAGGATCCGGGTACTGAAATGTCCAGCCTGCAGTCCAGATCTTTTACCTATAGAGAACATTTGGCGCATCATAAAGAGGAAGGTGCGACAAAGAAGGCCCAAGACGATTGAACAGTTAGAGGCCTGTATTAGACATGAATGGGAGAGCATTCCTATTTCTAAACTTGAGAAACTGGTCTCCTCTGTCCCCAGACGTCTGTTGAGTGTTGTAAGAAGAAGGGGGGATGCCACACAGTGGTAAAAATGGACTTGTTCCAACTTTTTTGGGATTTGTTGACGCCATGAAATTTGGAAACAACAGATTTTTCCCTTAAAATGATACATTCTCTCAGTTTAAACTTTTGATCTGTGATTTGTGTTCTATTCTGGATAAAATATTAGATGTTGGCACCTCCACATCATTGCATTCAGTTTTTATTCACAATTTGTTTAGTGTCCCAACTTGTTTGGAGTCCGGTTTGTACAACACAGGAGGCTACATGTTTTCTGGACATATTGTTTTCAGTCTGTCACCATCATCATCATCCTTGTGTCCAGCTCCACTACTCTTGCTTTGAAAAAGAGCTTTAACAGAACAACTATTTTCTTCCGGGGCATTCAGCTTTCCTCCTCCGGCTGTGCAGTCCACATGTTTATGCCATCCCTTCGGCCCACAACAGATGTGACATCACCACAGCCCGGCGCCACACTGCTGCCCCCCCTTCCCTCAATTCTCTGATTCCCCAGCATCTCTCTGTCTCCCACGCATTCCTTCTTTCTCTTTGCCTCTGCACACACAGCCATTTTGATCTCACAAACAAGACCTGTGAGACTCACTTGGGTAAAGAAAGCCAAACAGTGTGAAAGGAAAGAGGCAAAGTGACAAATTAAAAGATAAAAGGGGTGCACGCTTTCCGCGCTGCAAGATAACGCTGAGGCAGTGGTGTTGTTGTGTAACGCTAATACACACACAAAAAAAGCCTCTGCTGTTTGGCTGCCATCTTGCTTTAAGTCACTTTTCTCCAATCAGGAATGATGTGACTTTCTGCATGAGGTAATGCCTCTGTTGCTCCAAAAGGCAATGAGGGATGAAGGAGCAAAGGAGAGTGAGAGAAAAAGAAGGGGGGAGAAAGTGGGATTAGGGAAGGGTTGGAGTGAAGGAGAAAGTGGTGAGCAAAGGGGAGCACATGCTTCAGCTCACAGGCAATCTATTTTTACCATTTAACCAGAACAAAGGATGTGATTGGCTCCGTTGTGTTAGGACAAATCTCCTTCATGCATGGAACAAAGCCCTAAAAAAAAAAAAAAAAGGCTGATTCACAGCAAAATTCTCAAAAAAAAAAAAAAAAGCTAAATGTCATAGGGCTATACAAGAACAAGACAGACAGGAGAAGGCTGTTATTTATCTGCTGCAGGCTAAAATGCTCGGCAGCATTACATCATATTTTGCCTCAGCGACTACAGATTATGTTTGTCCAATCCAGATTCACTCCGGGACAATTAAAACAAGCCTCCTTTAACATTGGAATTAAACGTCCGCACCTTTAACGATTTACAGCACAAGTAGAAGCTGAAACTGACACCAGTGTCGACTGGTCTCGCTTATCTGCGAGATCTACCAGTCTAAACTTGTCTGAGCAGGCTCCACATGAACGCGTGTGCACGTGTGTGTGGCTGCAGGCGCATGCTCAGCGTTTGCATTGCATGAAGGTGAATTGTGAGACTTTGAATGCTAGTGCGCAGCATGCACATGTCCAATCTCTCCGGTGGACTTTGTTCCCTCTATATATACATCCTCTGACAACATGTGGATGTCATTAAAAGTTTCTGCTGCACGGTGAAGTCAGAAGGAGGTGGCTGAGATACTGGAAAACTACAAGAGGGAGGTTAAAAAGGGAGGAGGGAAATATATGGGAAGGGAATGTCGACCATCATTATATACCATCTGATAGGCAATTGCCAATGAATCAGCGCAGGCCCTTTTCTATTACACTGACACCCTAATTCAATTAGTCCTTTTTGAAATCCCCTAAAGCAGATGCAGCGATTCAGTTTCTGTCTGATACTCTATCCCCTGCGCTTCACAGAGCCTGTCCTCTGGCTTTGTGAGGCTTTTACCGTGAACAACCATCTCTGGAGCCTGCTCGCTCTCAGTAGGATACTGTTAAAGACAGATCGCCCCAAAGGCAAAAACAAAACGGAAACGAGCAGATTGTAGAGATTAGCTTCATAAAAAACACGCCAAAACATTTGAGCCTGCCAAAGACAAATGTGTGCAGACACAAACTGTTCTATATTTCCTTTTTGTCGTTGTCATACAGTAGGAGTACCATTGTTTACAACCCAACTAACTTTTATTTAAAGCTTTAGAAATTTAAATGGGGATGGATGCGCAGTCGCAGATGCGTAAGGAGTCTAGCTCCAGCTTTTTGTTCACACGCTTAAATGTTAAAACTCAAGGAGAGCAGCGTTGCTCTCATGTTTCTGCATCTTAAAGTTGTTTCCTTCAGCTGTTCACTTTTCGTGTGCAGCGGCTTCTACTCGACTCCGTCGTGAAAGGCTTCCAAGTAAACAAGAAGTGGACCTGTTGAAGCCGAGAAAATTCAACAAAAAAAACAACGAGTAAAAGCAGACAGCGGATGAAGCACCTATCAATATGTCAGCGTATCCGGACGTGGTAAAACTCAGAGAGGCATTGATCTGCTGCTCAGCAAGTAGGGTCTGCTGAACAACTCAGTCCTGCAGTGTGGCACACTCAGTCTTGTTTGACGACATGTGTATGGAGACTCTGGCATGACTTCACCAACACACACACATTTAAATGAAACTCACACAGCTTGGAGCTGGCTCCAGGGTGCTTTGCAGCCCTTTTACATTAGTCATCTTTCTGACAGAGATGGAAGAGGGAAAAGAGAGAAAGCACTCACCGGGACAAGCACAACCTCCAACAGACATCTTCTCACATGTTGGGCTCTTCTCTGAACGAAACAGCTGCACTCAGTCCACACGTTGCTCGCATGGGCTAACTGGAAAAAACACACACACACAGAGAGAGAGAGAGGGGTGGGGAGATGAGAGGGAGTGGTGAAAAGCAGGCCATGTACAACACAACTACACTCCTCTCTCTGTCAGAGGCAGGAAGTTGGCAGCGGTGCTGTAGCTGCATCATTAATAGACACATTGCAACACGAGTGGGAGGGCAAAAATGAGCGAGCAGTGAAATAGGAAGAAAGAGCCTCAGCGGCGTGCACGGGGAAGAAGGAAACATGGATCAGAGTGTGTGAAATGGAGAATGCAGGAGGGAGGCAATTAGAGCAAAATAGAGGAAAAGGAGAAAATGCAAAAGGTGCGTGTGGGTGAGAGGGGGGGTGTTTGTGTGGCAGTGATGCATCGTCTATTTTTGCCCTGTGCTGCTGTGGGAGATAAACAGACTCAGTAGGAGCCCAGAGGCAGAGGGTAATTACTGCCAAACAAACACGCGCACACGCTCGCACGTGAACACACGCCGTGCCGCATGTATGACAGATCCCCATCTCGTTGTGTCTCCCTCCGTTTCTTTTTTACTTCTGCTGCACCGAGAACATCGGTGTTAATCACTAAAGACAGGATCGATTAAAAATGCAAAGGCCTCCTGGAGCGCAGGGACACCAGAGGCCCATGGGAGGCAGGAGGCGTGCGCACGTGCTCACAAGCAACACACGCAGCAGGTGAACAGGCCAACTCAGCTTTGTATGTCTTTTCTTCAAAACTTTTTTTTTTTTGGATTGGAGCTCTTTTCTTTTCCTCCACTTTTCCGGTCGTGTTTCCTGTTCATCCCATAATTTCTTTTGACTCGAGCACGTCTGTTCTCCAAGCAAATAATCTGATGAGCTCACACTTGGCTACACAAGCGCGAGCAGAGGACTGAGTGGGTCCTCTGTGGACCGACTCTCAAAGGTTGGATGTTGTGTGTTGCTGTGATCTTGGACAATCGGTTGTGTCATATTCATGCTTTACTGGAAATTAAATTCTGTGAAAAGATTTGAAGAATTTAAGTCTTATCTGACATAGTTTAATACATTTCCAAACAAGGGCACATATATTTCACTTGCTACCTAAAAGGCAATGAAGAAGCTGCCAAAAAATTCTAATTTTATTAGAAGTTTTTTTATTTTTTGAGTCAGGGTTCACAATTTTAGCACTAAACATTATTCCACCCTCACCATCAAAACCTCTTGCTTGATTTTATAACATTTTAACCACTTCACACTGCACAAAAATCTCTTTTTGGTCATTACAAGTGGCTTCTTAACCATAACCCTGCAGGGCAAAAAGTTTTATCCATCTGGTTTAAATGGATCAGACTCAGATTGTGTGCAAACAACTTATTTTTAATTATTCCATTTCTGATAATACTTTCAGTGCTGTGATGCTTTTTTTTCAGGGAGTCTAAGAGTGAGTTTCTGTGACATTTGGACATGTGCTTGATCCAAAACAATATTTATGAAGGTGAAATAGATAACAAGTAAGGACAAAAACATGTTAAATAGTGAACTTTTTAGGATTTACTAAAATACCATTTTAGTTTGCACCAGTTTAGAACATTGTCAGTCACTATTTGACTATTATGTATAATTTCTGTCGACTAATTAACATGCAAAGATTTATGCTTAGTAGTAGGCTGCATGATATTATCGGCACGGTATCGAGATTAGCCGATATTAGACGATACTAGCGATAAAGTTAAATATCGGCCATTCCATCAAAATACTCACCGATATAAAAGGTGCTGTATATATATATATATATATATATATATATATATATATAAGGCACTGTTTTTGTATGACTGTTCGTGTCATTGTGTTAGAGAGAGTAAATGTCATGTGAATAAATTTGACATTAAACATAATCCAAGTTGAAGTGTTACATCATTTTCAGCCTCCTTTTTGGCATCTGCATTTGGTAGCAGACCAAATTAACAAAGACCATGCAGAATAATGTAGTATTTTAATTCCACAGCAGAGAAATCTATGTAGTCTTTGTTTGTAGGTCTAGGGAAAAAAATATATAATTTATTGGCCAAATATGTTTTAACATATTGGCATATCGATATCGGCCAAAAATCCAATATCATGCATCCTTACTTAGTAGTTAAATTGTACAACACAGTCTCCAATTAATTTGGTCCAGTGGTCATTTAGTGTGCTAAAAAGTCCACTCGCTGGGACTTTTGGGCTTACAAGTGTGGCAAAATGACCGCATATGAGATCAGCTCCAACTAGAGGCGCAAAAGCGTCACTAGTTGGCAAAAACTGTGTAAGAGTAAGAGTGTTTGTTGAACTTGTTCACCAAAATGTTAATTGTGCAACTAAAAAATTGTAGTCGCCAACTAGTGGGCAAAAATTGTGCTTGATATCAAATATATTGAATAAATACACAAATGACTTGCCATAAATATCCACATGAATGCCAGCACCAACGATTTGGCAACATAACACATTCAATGATCAGTGTTACTTTACTTTCCAGTGGTTCAAAATCCCGATAGATTGTTTAATTTTGCAAATATGATTGCAAGAAAACAAATCCAAGCAGGCAGAGACTTCTTAACAAGTGCATCTAGAAGAGTTTCCTCAGAAATTACAAAAAAAAAAATTGTTAATAAAGTCAAAATCTCTGCTCAGATCTGCTGCGCAGATTGCGCTGCAGACGGCACCGAACATGTTGTAAACAAAGGAGCCAGAGATGCTCTGCTGGACTATCTTTGCAATAACAGCTGTTTAAATCACCCTAAGCATCTTCTGGTGCATTATGCTCCAAAGGGTAAATGTTTTCAGATTGATAGAAATACCATATTCACAACTGGCTAACAGAGATTGATATATTTGATGTAGAATAGGTTTTGATGTCACGTCAAATAAAAGTAATTGTTTAAAACAGCTTAAATAGTGGGTTCACGGTTGATATAAACATATTTTGAACTGTAGAGAGTGAAACATGATGAGAGAAATGTGTATTTTAAATGACGTATAGAAATTATTGTATCTGCGAAACTCAGTTGTTTCAACTATGTTGTGGCATGTGTATTAAAAAGAGCTTATTTTAATTATTTGTCTGTTTTTGATGGGGCTGTTGCAAACCACCGGTTCATCAACCGCCTGGATCTGCAGCAACAACAAAGCCCCCACAGTTGAGTTAAAACTCAGTTTACCAACTTCACATCCCTGTTTCCTGTCGCTCACATCTTTTGCACTCAAAGACAAAACGGTGCCTCTTCTAAAATCTGAGCTGACAAGCACATTCCTCCCCACACACCAGCGTTCGGGCAGAGGCATCACAGTTAAATGTCACACACAGTGTCAGACACCGCTGTCAGCACCAAGACACAATGAACAACCCTGCGGGCCTCCTCTTCTTCTCCTCTCTTTTCATTTCCCCTTCACAGACAGATACTTTGTTTTTTGTTCTTCTGATGTTTTGTTTCTGCGCACCTTGCGTGGCACAGTGTGTGGGCTCAACATGTACAGAAGCTGTAAAACGGGGACCCCTGAACGAAAGGAGACAGGAAGAACATAGAGGGATTCGTTTTCCAGAGCCGTTAGAGAGGAAATGAAAAGATAAAATGTGGGAGAAGCAACAAACGAGGTGTGTGCATGTTTTTTTTTTTTAGGGAACAGCATCTGTTTCCATGGATGCTTCTGTTCTTTTCTTTATTTTAAGGTGCAGAGATTGCTGCTCTGTCAACACAACAGCACATTGCTCAGAAAAGCTCTCGGAGACAATAATGAATCCCCGTCTTCTGTTTGCCTCCCTCTCTCCGCCGTGGGAACACGTAACAGCAGCAGCTCAATAACAATATGTGACAGACAGCAACGTGCTCGCACACAGACACTCTGCTTAGCTTACAGAGGCACGCGTGTTGTCCTCCTGCAACAAGCAGCTGCGTGTAAACAACATCGTTCCTTGACGTTTCTCTACAAAGCGTGGTATCCCTCGCGCCTCAGACGACTTTGTGCCGTCAGTAGTGACCTCTCAAGTCTTTTGTGTTGTTGATGCTCTCGCAGACGTTCTCAAACATCCGTCATGTGAGTGATTACCTTTGTCTTCTGGCGTCTCTCCTCACGCTCGCTGGGGACAAAAAAAAAAAGTCCCCTCAGGCCAGCCACGCAGAGGAAACCAAGCAGCTGAGAGAGAAATGTCCTCTCTGATGAGCAGATGCAGATAAGAGACAAATGGACGAGTGGGGGGGGGGTGGGGGGGATCAAGCAGTGTGCAAATTGGATGATGACGAGGAAAGGAAGGAAGGACAGAGGAAGAGGCGAATGGGAAAGTGTTGGAGGGGAGGGGGGCTCTCAGCTGCACTGGTATGAATATGACGCAGAGGCAGAATCCAGAGCCACTTCTCTCCTCTCCTCTCATCCCTCCGTACCCGCCGAGAAAGACGATTGAAAGGGGGGAGAGAAAGGGCATTGTAACCATGGCAACGGCAGAGCAGCGGTGGGTAACAGTTTGGGAGAGGGGCACGGTGGCGCTCCTCTTATTTGTCTTTTTCACTCACACGCAGATATGCTTTTGAGTCTCACAGCTCCCGCATGTACAGTGCACGCCGTCTATGTACCGAAGCTGAGGATACGTGCACGTGAGTGTCCATCGGAACCAGGCTGTTTGGGCCTGACCGGACTGAAGAAACTCGGAGAGGAAGCACGAGTTCATCACACCATTAAGGAGCTGCACCACTGTAGACCAAAGCTTTATTGTCTAGCACTGGTTTGAATGGTTAGAGATCACGTTCAAGACCTTAAATGCAGAACAAGATGATGTGAAAAGCTGCAAAAATTTAAACTGTGAACGTTCTCGTGCTTCTTGGACGGTTAAAACGCATGCGCTGGAGAGAAAAACAGTTGGGGTGACTAGAAGTTGATTACTTTCTGAGAGTTTTATTTAAAACCTTCTGTGTGTTTCAGGACATATTTGACTAAAAATACGGACAACAACTGCATTCATACTTACCTTCTGCTGCAAAATGTGGCATTCAAGGACACACCAGATGTGTCTTTAAAATGTATTTTATCAAATTGATCTTTTTTTGAGTTTACATTTTATTTGACATCATTCACGTGTCACTCACCTGCACTGATCAGGAGCAGATTGAGGTTGTTTGTTGCCTTGTGTGAAGCCTTTTTCTTCCCTTGCAACATTACTAAACCCGTTGTTTCGTTTTATTGGTACGGTGCAGTAGAACATGTGCCAAACACCAAACTGTGACCCGACGCATCCCTTGTTTCTACATTGCTGTCTTTGAGGATGCTCTCTCAAAGTTCATCGGACTGAAATTCAAACCAACTCTATTCATTACACACAAGAGTCAAACTGTTAGTCCAAAACAAGCTGCCACAAAGTACGTGTGTGCTTATAATGTGTTGCTTGGCCAACCGCTAATCCATTTTTGACCAGAGGGACACAGGGAATTATGGCTTTTTAAGCCATGCAGCATGAGTTGTAATAAAAGATGCATGTATTTGAACTACTTTATTCACTTCTTCTTTATGTCACCTTCTTTTTATGTTACCTTCCCTACATGTTTCACTTAACTAAACAAGCACACACACAAAATATCCAATGCCCTGTATTTCTAGCACAGCTTTGAAAGGAAAGGATTTTTTTTCCACCTTCATCTCATCATCAGTCATGCTCTTTTTGTGCAAATTTAAATTAGTATGTAGCTTATTCTAAAGAGCATGTATCAGGATTCTTATTCTAAAGAGTTAAATGAATGGACTAAAATTAGAAAATAAAATTACTCCCAAGTTTTTTTTTTTTCCTAGTTCAGTACCATTTAACAAAGCCTCAAGGTCTTTATGAATTAATACCATTTTCTTGGTTGTATTTAGCTGCAGATGTTCAATAATACTCTGTATAATAACAATAATAATAATTAATTTAATTTGTAACGCACTTTTCATTAACAATAATCTCCAAGTGCTACAGAGTGCAACTAAAATCAATGATAAAATCAACTAAAGGTTAAGGTATAAGGTTTGGTGTAACTGTATGTGTTGTGTGACCTGACTGAAAATTGTTGGATTGTATACCTGGATTATTGAGCATGGACTTTGTTG